GCATTTATATTTGTGCATGGAGCTGTTCCTACCCAGGTGCAGGACTTCGTACTTCCCCTTGCTGAACTGTCATGACGTTCCTGACAGCCTGTTTCTCCATGTTGCCGAGGTCCCTCTGGATGGCAGCGTGACCCACCAGTATATCAGCCACTCCTCCCTTTTTTGTGTCATCAGCAAACTTGTTGAGAGTACACTCTGTTCCATCAACCAGGTCATTAAAAACGTTAAGGATTAAGGAAATGTGCCTGAAAATTTATTTCTGGAGTAGCTGCTCCATCACCTTTCCAGGGATCGAACTGAAGCTGCTTGGCCTGCAGTTTCCTGGGTTGTCCTTTTTTCCCTTTCTGAAGATCGAAGTCATATTTGTTTTACTCCACTTTTTGGGCCTTTCTCCCAATGGCCATGACTGATCAAAGAGTATCAGGAGTGGCCTCATGATGATGTCTGCCAGCTCTATCAGCACTTGTGGGTGCGTCCCATGAGGGCCCATGGACTTATTCATGTCCAGTTTACTTACATGTTCAGTGACCTGATCCTCTTCTGACAGGACTACATCTTTCTTGCTTCAACCCTTCCCCCTGGTCTTTGGAACACGGCACTCCTGAGGGCTGGTCATGCCAGTAAAGTCTGATGCAAAGGCAGCATTCAGTATGTCAGCCTTTTCCATGTCTTGTTGAGCAATGGGCCCATATTTCCCTTAGTCTTCCTTTTGTCTCCCATGTGCTTATAGAAGTCCTTCTTGTTGCCCTTGAAGTTTCTGGCCATATTTAATTCCATTTGGGCTTTAGCTTCATCCCTGGATGCCCAGCAAAGTTTCTGTATTCCTCACAGTTACTGGTCCTTGCTTTCATCCTCTGTATGCTTCTATTCTGCGTCTGAGTATTGCTAGGAGCACCTTGTTCATCCATCCAGGCTTCCTAGCATTTTTGCCCAACTTTCTATTCATTGAGATGGACTGCTCTTGAGCTTGGAGTAGGTGACCCTTAAATATTAACTGACTTTCTTTAGTCCCTCTTCCTTCTAAGACTTCATTCCATAGGATTACTTCAAACAGATCTTTGAAGAGGGCAGAGTTTACTCTCCTGGAGTCCTGGGTCATGAGCTTGTTTTTCCCCTCCTCTCTGCCCTCAGGATTCTGAACTCCACTATCTCATGGTCTCTGTCACCAAGACTGCCTTTGATCTGCACACCTCAAAGAGCCCCTCTGCGATGGTATGAAGTTCAGCAGATCACCTCTCCTTTTTGGTTTCTCTATCACTCAGAGGAGGAAGTTATCAACAATGCAGTCCAGGAATCTGGATTGCTTATGCCCTGCTGTGCTGTCCCTCCAGCCAGTGTTCAGGTGGTTGAAATGTCTCACAAGAACCAGGGCCTGACAACTTGAGTCTGCTTTCATCTGACTGTTGAGGGCCTCATCCACTTGCTTTTCCTGGTCAGGTAGCCTATAGCAGACACCCACTATAATGTCACCTTTACCTGTCCTCTCTTTAATCCTAATCCTTATGTGCTCAGCTCCATCCCCAGACAGAGCTCCATGCACTCCAGCTGCTCTCTCACATAATGGGCAACTCCCCTCCCCCGAGTTTTTCTCCTATAGTCCTTCCTAAAAGACATATATTCTTCCATTGCAACATTCCAGTCATGGGAGGCATCCCACCATGTCTCCGTGATCCTGACAAGATCAGAGCCCTATAGCTGCACGTAGATCTCTGACTCATCGTGTTTATTCCCTATACTGCCTCCACACAGGCACTTCAGAGAGGCACCCAAGCATGCTGAATTCCTGGAGAGGGTTTCAGGATTATGTTGTACTCAGAGTTACGATAATTTTTGACATAAAATAATTAAAGCTGAAGAGAATTGATTAATAAATGGCACATTAGGATGATGTAATACAATAAACTAAATCAGTGAGCTAGAATACAGGGGTTTACGTGAAAACAATAAATATTTTTAACATTATCTCCTTTATTTCCTTACCTGAAATTAGAACCCACTATTGGCAATTCCCTTTAGACTAAGAAGCAATTACTTAGGATGAAACTATCTTAATTCAAAATCGATTAAAACCAACTCACTAACCAGAAATAAACCGGCACAAAGCCCAGTGGCTCTCACCTCGCAAAGCCAGCATGTGGCGCTGTCTCCTGTAAAAAAACAGCCCCGAGTTTCTAAGGAAGCTGGTCTGCAAAAAAGCTCATTTGAACATTGTCTGACTACTCGGAAGCACAGGCAAGAAAATAATTCGTATATTTTAGCATAAAACCAATACTCTGCACTCGCAGGACTTTGTTAGTACTAATTCTACTTCTTCTAATAAGAAAAGATTATTTAATGTAATTTGACAAAAAAAAAAGTTAGCAAAACATACAAACGTGTCTATATGTCTATTTATCTCATTATAGACCACAATTAGCTTTATAGGTTGGTTGAATTGTATACATAATTTATTTCCAATTTTCTGTATTCTGTAGCCAATTTATTGACATCTTTAAAATGAGTGTACTTACAAACTTGCGTATCTTCTCTTTCCGTCTACTGGATATTTAGCCCATAGTGGGTTTTAGTTACCTACTAAATTCTTGAGCTACTGAGCTTGTTTCTTAATCTCCACGTAATGGAACAGGACCTGTGTGAATACAGTTTTACTGGAAGTGAACAGTCAGTCTTTGTGTGCTAACCAAGTCAGCCTTTACTGAAAAAGAATTCACAGACTACACTGATGATCTCTGTAGCCATGAGCTTTCAAACAAAAGCAACAGAGTAAACTGTGTATTCAGTAATTTTTTTATTATTAAGAGCTCTATGCCCTTTGCTACCAGACTTTATAAAACAAAAGAAACAGGATTCGTACCCTTTTACTTAAAGCTGGGGTTTATAATATATGACATAAAATGCATTGGTACTAACATGGAGGGGATATATCTACAGAACCACCTGGCCTCTCTAGATTTACATCTGATTTACAATAGCTACGTACTTTTTCAGGCAGTTCTTATTATCTACTAAAATATGGTAAAAGTTCAATGCATTCAGTGTACCTGTAAACACTATGAATCAGCAAAGCAATTTTCTTTTCCTGACTCAAGGCAAAAAGTTGTGAAATTTTTAGTCAGGGCTTAAGAAAACCTATTTAAAAGCTTGTCATGTAGCAACTGGGAAGTTCTGAACTTAATACTGAGGCCTCAACGCTATTCTCACAATCTTGCTAGGACTGTGCATTTATTTCTGTGTTGTTCTATAATGTCTTGTTTTTCCTTTGTAAATATAGAGCTTCTGCATTAGGCAAAGTAACCAGTTCTCTAGCAGTGAGAAATCAGTCAGAACTGGAGAAAGCATTTCTGAACTGCTTATGACGCCTGCTCCCGGCAAGAGGAAAGGTAATCATTCCAGCTGCAAAGATAAGGAAGGCTTCAGGAGGTGTAGTTGAGATGGTCTTCCTTGCTTAACCAGGGCACTTCCAAATAGCTGGCAGAATACGCTAAACAGTGCAATCAGCAGGGCAACTTCTGTGCCAGGATGTTGCAGGTGACCCTGTCTTTCGGGAGCCGCACTCCTTCAAGCATCCAAGGGCACCAACTCTCATCTCCATTTCATAGCACTTGCAGGACTGAATCTGGCCTACTGGCTTTTCTCAAATGAAGATTTCTGGTCAGCAGACAAGAGACACTGTAAGCTGCAAAGTAACATCTAAACTAAAATTTGTCTTGCTTTCTATTATATTTGTATGTTACCAATACTCGTGACAAGAATCCCTCTTAATCTGTGCCTTTTGTGATAAGATAGTAAAACTATAGCTAGAATATGAAGGTAGAATTTAACAACTGATTTATTAGTTTGGATGCAGTAGAACTTTTTATATTTTGAATTTCTGACATATATAGGTTTATGAAAGGTGTATGTATATAGTGTGGTAAGAATAATAACATTGGGGAATATGCTTTATTTCACAGTTGTGTCCATAAGAACATCCACAGAGGAATTATAGCTATGTTAAATTAGTACAAGCCAGACTGGTTGAAGATCTTGCTGTTTTTTATGAGATTTTAGATGACTTTCCTAATGAACACTTAACTTATGCTAAAACTTGTTTCAGTAAAGATGACTCCTAAAGCCTGTTTAATACAGGGTTTGATAACCACACTAAACTCCTTCTAGTAGTAGTAACTAATGTAGTATTAACTCCTGAAATGGCCTAAGGTCTACTTATTTTCAAGTTCAGGAGGCTCGAACCACAGGCTCCAGAGAGGAATGATCCACTTGCTCTTTCTAGCAGCACATACTTGCGACGGGAGGAGTCCATACAGCGTGAACAGGGAGAGGAATGTGGTACGTAACCTCTGTGCTATATACTGCGGCACGCGCTCCCAGCCCTGCAACTGATGGCGCAGAGAGAAAGGATGTTAGGCTCATATATACTGGATGGTGGCCATTTTACAGCTCAAGGCACTATTTTAATTTTTGCAGCTATTACCCAGAGGTATTTGGACTAATGACTTGTAGATTTTCATTTTTAAATAACTCTTCAGAGGAGCCTGTATGGGTTTCACCTTGGGACAGGCGCTCATCGCAGTGTTTCTCTGTAAGAAACACACCGAGTTTCAAAAAAGTGATTTCCATGCGTTCTTGTCTCCCCGTCCTTTTCTTTTCTTCTTCCTTTTTTTTTTCTTTTTAAGAAGAAATAAAAGGCACTAACCAGGCTGTAAAGATTGGTTACCTGTGGCCCCGCCACTCAGCGGTACGCCAGCGCGGCGGGACCCCCACCCCGCCCGCCTGCGGGCAAAAACAGAGCGTGTAGCTCCTGGGGCCGCTCCGAGCCCCGCAGGTGGCGGCTCCGGCGGAGGGTCCGGGAGCCGGGGCGGCCCCGCCGACCTGCCCGCGGGCACAGGACCCGCCCGCCCGCCGCTGCCGCTCGGCGCAGCCAATGGCGCGGCCGCTGTCAGCATCGGCCCGCCCGCTGCCGCCGGGGGAGGGCTGTGGGCCGGGGAGGGAGGGAGGGAGGGAGGACCGGGGTGAGGGGAGTTGAATGATTGAACTTTCTTGTGTAGTTTCTGCGCGCGGAGGTGTCTGTCCCCGGCGCAGCCCGGCACCCGCCCGCCGAGCGGGAGCGAGCTCACCCCGGCGCCTGCCGCCCCCCGCACCGCCCGGCCGCCCCTCTGCCCTCCTCTCCCGCGGAGCGATGGTGCGGAGGGCGCCCGGCGCGTCCCTCGCCCTGATCCTCTGGGTGACGGCCGCCTGCGGCAGCCCCGACGGGCCGGGGGCCGCCGCCTCCGCCCGCAGACAGGACGAGGTTTTCTCCACTGCCAGATGCACCTCCAGGTGCCTGAGCCTCCAGATCACTCGCATCTCCGCCTTCTTCAAGCATTTCCAGGTAGGGGCATGGCGCCGTGCAGGGGAGTCCCGCTGCCGCCGCCCGGAGGGTGAGTGTCTCTCGGCACCGGCGCGGCGGCGCGGGGTGGGGACGGAAAGGACGGCCGGGGCCGGAGCGCCTCTTGGCAAACTTGGGGTGCCGCGCCCCCAGGGGATGGTGGGCGTGCTGCGGGAGCTGCCGCCGGCACCTGCAGTCTCCGGACAGGTGGGCACGGCCCCGCGGCAGCGCCGAACGCCGCCGGTGTCGGTGAGTGCCGGCCAGGCTCGCCGCGGGCAGGTCGTGGAGTGCGGCGGGGACACCGCTCTGCCCTGGCTGCTCGCAGGTGCCCAGCGCTCCCGGACGCTGCCCCATCAGGGCAGAACGGGCCCCGGGAGCTGCCTCCGTCGGTGTCCGAGGCGGTGGGGCAGCGGGGCGGCCGCAGCTCGGTGCTCCCGGGCCGGGGTGCGCTCGTCCTGCCGGACTGCGGGCGGTGCGGCCGCGATCCCCCGCCCGCCTGCGGTGGGCCCGGGAGTGGTTCGCTTCTCCAGCCTGGTGTGAAAGTTTGAGCCTATTTTTTAAGAGCGATAACCGGGAACGCGTAATACTTAGTTCCGACCTCCTGGGAGGTGAGGGTGGGGGTAACACTCTTTTTTTTTTTTTTTTTTTTTCTGGGACAGAGAGGCACATCTCTGGCTAACGGGAGTGGGGAAATAGGGATAAAGTGGGGGAAAAAGTGGTTGAAGTAGCGGGAGACCCGCGGGGCATAAAATGAAATGCTGGAAGCAGTGCAGGAGCTGGTGCAAGAGCAGCGTGTGTCTGCCCGTCCTTTCCCCTTTTCCAGTTACACGCGCACCCTTCCCTTCTCCGTTCCCCACCTGTTCTACACTGCGCAAATATTAAACCGAGTCGACTTCATCCGAATGATGGAAACCCTTCAGAGCTGCAAGTCCATCTCCCTCCCGAGCACCCAGGCCCCTTTGGGAAAGGGTTGGCCAGTTCGGTGGGAAGGGAGCCACGCTCGCCGCTTGGGGTGGCACATCTCCGCACCGCCCCGGGCACCCGGCGGGGAGCGCCGCTCGCTCACCCCGGGCTTGCCGGGCGGTGAGAACCCGGGAGCGCCCGGGCAAATGCTTTGGGTGGAGCAGCATTCGGGGCAAAGGTGTTGGCAGAAAAGGCAGGTTTGAGAGGTATTTAAGGATAACCCGATTAAAAAAAAAAAAAAGCCAGTGTGAAAGGAAAGCTGAGTATATGCGTTGCAACGGCAGCAGAAGTGTTTGGGTGTCTGCAACAGGATTTGGGTTGAAGAGACCGGCGGTGCACCCCGAAGCGGGTGGGGAAGGGATTGCCCTATTCTGCCCTGTCTTGGCCACCGCGGAGCTCCGCCGAGCCCGGGGACGGAGGAGAGCTGTCATCGTGGTCCCTCCATCACGAGATGGTCTGAAAGGAGGGTACCCATTAAAATAGTTCATTATCCCAGAGAGGGGTTAGTATTTTTTATGGCGTTGTCAAGAAGTTGTAACTTGTTTCACAGTTTCAGTGGCTAAAGAGACAGTTTAGATCAAGCCAATTCATGGCGAAAGGCTTTTTTTTTTTTTTTTTGGTGTGTGTGTTTTCTTGGCAAGATTTCTTTCTCGATGTAAAACTGCTGACAGAATGCACATTGCCAAACAATCGTGATTATATTTTAATTATCCAGGGTGAAATAAGCAGGGAATTACTCACTTATGTCTTGAAAACTGGCTGTTTTTGTGTAATCATTTGAGAATCTCAGAGTTTTAACCCCAACTTGCTAAAGCACACAGTAATTTATATAAATTACCAGGATTAAACTCCTGCTAGACATGAAATGACTGTAATGTTTGGAAGATAAAGTGCTCTCGTTTATAAAAGTTAAGCTCTCCATTGTCTTTTAATGAGGGAAAGGAGGAGAGGTTTAGAGTACATCATGCATCCAGTGTTCGAACAGGAGACTGATAAGACACAGTGGACTGTAGGACATGCAGGTTTGGGCCCTATTATTCCATAAAGGCTAAAGGATAAGATGTTCCTTTCATGCCTTTCTCTTCTCCCTCCTTCTAGCCACTCCCCTCCTCTTTTCATCTCAACTAGTAGCAATTTCTGGAGTTCTTTTCATTTCAGAGATGCCCACTTATCTTGTAATCTGATTCAACCTTTGAAGCAAACTAAACACTAGCTCGTCCCAGTTGGAGCAGGAAGGAACTCTAGTGTCTCCTAGTTAGAGAAAGAATTGAAAGAAAACTAACCCACTGATTTCCCAACCCTGCTTTAGATACAACCTCAGCGGTGGGGTCAGGGAGACAACAGCTGGATACTTTGTGAGAGGTGACATCCCCAACACTTCAGAGAGACTTCATTTCACATAGTTTATGGTACTAAAGTCACATTAGTAACAGCCTTTTAGAGAGAATGGAGTAGTATGAATAGGAAATCTGGGTTAATACTATACCTTCTGGCTCCTTGTTTGAGGATATTAGCCAACTAATATTTTTCCAATTTCCAAAATGATCACAAGAGATTGTAATTCTTTTTCCCCTTCACAGAGAATCTTTACCCATTTTTCTTTACTGTCCCTTTCTGTGAACGGGCCAAGAGAGGTGTTCTGTTTTTAAAAAACCCTATTTTTTAATTTACATTAATTTATGCTTCAAAGCCCATTTTAGAGGTGTGTTGTCAGTAGGAAATTATTTTTACCTAGATACAGGTCAAATAATATACTTTTTTTTCCCCCATGTAGACTATTGATGTGGGCTAGAGGAAGAATCGGCCACCTAAATCAAAAATCTTTAATCTTCAGAATGTTTGTTGAAGAGGCACAGATGCCTGCTTTTTTGCTATAAAATCCCCATTGCCAGGGTACTTTTCCAGTTCTGGGATTGTTGGGAAGTTCTATGTAGAGGTTACACCAAAGGATATGTGAGATCAATATGGGACTTATGCATCACATAGGTCTTATAGCCTAATTAAATATGTATGTTTTATATCTATCTATGGCCTGTCTTCAGGCTGGGAACTTTCACAGAGCATGCTGGCACAAAGTCCTTTCATTAAAAAAACAATCAAACAAAAAAGGTAAGCGGTGTATTTATCTCAGCTCTGTAACTTGGGCCACTGGACATCACCGAACGAAGCATTCACTGACCTGTGACCAGAGAGAGTAAGGGCAAAGAGAACTCACCTCTCTAGCCTAATGTTTAAGGTACTCACTTTTAGCCATTTTGGGTGTTGAGATTAGGGTTTTACAATGACTGTTGCATCACATGTATAGAGGGAGTAATCAGAGCATTCACTGGAACCCGTCCATGCTCTTGGGTCACTGCCTTGCAAGTAGTAGAGTTCCTACTGCTGTGCTTTTTTTCTGACAAAGTTCTCTGTAAAACACCAGAACAGAGGACAATGGCAAGAGTGTCCTTCCAGTAAGGAAGGACGTGACCATGAAGTGGCCTGATTACAATGGAGGAGAAGGTGAGGTGTAGATTTGAATCTTGTCCTGTATCATAATCAGTATTGTATGCATTTGGCTGGCTGTTACCTAAAAGAGTATGCCTGTGTGTTAGTAAGCTGCCCTTATGAGATGGGAAGGGTGATTCCTCCTCTAGTTTGGAATGAAAGGAAGGACTAAAGTGTCTGACTCCAAAAGAAACACCAAGAATGTGAATCCTGTGTGGAAAAAGGCATACTATTTTAAGGGACCAAGGTTGTAAAGAAGAGTGATGTCATTGGATACATTCTTTCCCCTCAATATTTTCTTATTAAGGCAGTTCCCTTCTCAGAGTTTTAGCTGATGTTCAGGAAAAAGGTAGGAGTTCTAATTTGAGGTATTCAGAATTTATTTGTGAATCTGGTTTTATAGTAACCCCATACAGTAGGTATAACCCTCATAAGATGAGGTCCGTTAATGCACAAGTTTTTGTATTCTTGGAAAGGGTATGTATATAAACGGGGACCTCATACAGCTAGCTGGAAAAGAGACTTGAATACTCAGATTAGTTTTGCTAGGGATTTTCTGTATAACCTGCCTGTTTTATTGGAATGAGACTGAATTCCTTGTGTTGCTATCTATGAATGTAGCCCTTCGCATCTATGATATTAGTTGTGGATGAACTCCTTCCATTTTGGGGGAGCAGGCATGGCGTGACCTTTAGCATTCTGTTTTCAAGTTGAGTGAAAACACAGTTTGGATTTTAATCTCTACAGCCAGACAGCCATCTAAGCCATGTTCTAAAACCAGCATGATTAGAAGTTTTCTTTGTGAATAAGAGCTTGAACATCAGTGTAACTACTTAGGGTAAAGGTATAGCATAAAAATGTTACGGAGAGGAAAGTGTTTACTTGGACCTGTGAACCTGTGGAACTTTTGTCTTAGTTGTCATCTGTTACAGACCTCTCAGGTATCTTCCTGCTTAATGTGTGCAACTTGATAAGTTAGTTAAGGCAGAGGAGCAGTTAGTCTTGCTTACTGGGTCAAAAGCTGAGAGGGTGGTAGAGCATGCCACAAGAATTAGGGGTACTTGCCAGTAAAACTGGCTCCGTTTGTGGTATGGAGTCGCAGGAGAGGCCACAGCCACATGCTTGAAGAGTGGCAGAATAGCTGAGGCTGGGCAGCACCTCCTGGCAAAGTGTTCTAATGTTTAATCACCCTCACAGTAAGAAAGGTGTTTTCTTATGTTTGGATGGAATGTCCTATGTTTCAATTTTTGGCCATTGCCTCTTGTCCTGTTACTGGGCACTGCTGAGAAGAGTCTGGCTCCATCTTCTTTACTCTCTCCAGTCAGGTGCTTATAAACATTGATGAGAACCCCTTGAGCCTTTAAGTCTATTCAAGGCTAAACATTCCCGGTTCTCGTAGCTTCTTCTCATGTGAGAGATACTACGTTCCCTTTGCTGAACTCCCTCCACTAAGTCTCTGTCTCTCCATGTAACAGGGAGCCCAAGGCTGGGCCTAGTACTCCAAATGTGGAGGAGTGACTAGAAAAGAGAATAGAATTAGCTACATTTTGAAG